ACTGTCTTCTGGGTGTGTCTTTCTGAATAGCCTCCCTCTCCTCCTGGTTCCGAATGTTGGGGGCTTCCCCTTGGGTAGGGTCTCTGACTCTGGGCGTGAGTCACGTCGTTCCTGGGATGAGGACTGCTTCTCTTTGGCCTTGTGTGTGTGGTGGGTTGATTGACCCACGTGCGTGCCGCCGTGCTGGGTGGAAGTTTCACTGTGGCTGGTGCCCTCCCTACCACGGATGGGGTGATTTTCTTCCCCTCAGAGGGTTGCCTCCTGTGTCCTGCCTATGCTGGGTGGATGCCTAGTCGTGGGCTCCTGTGGTGTGTATCTTGTCCTCAGGTTTGGTGCATTTGGGCACAGAGGCCTGTGGCCTGTCTCTGGGGGAGTGTGTGTATCAATTCCTGCCGTCTCCACACTGACGCTGGCTGCAGGGCTGTCTCTAGCTGCTGCAGCAATTGGCCTGGTTTCCATCCTGGCTGTCTTTATACTGGCTCGCCCCGGGAAGGGGTACTGTTCTCCGAGGGCAGTGGAGGAAGGAGCTTCCTCTGGAGGTCACCCCTGGCAGAGGCCATCTGCTGGGGTCAAGAATCTGCTTCCTGGAGTTCTCCTGCTTCTACTTGGCGTCGTGCCCAATCGCAGGGTATGGGCAGAGCCCTGCTGCTCGGCACATCCTCTTTGCAGTTTTGAAGTGACAGGATGGGCTGTTCTCTCGCTGCTTCTGGCCTGAATTATAGCCTGTCCCACGGTGTCAGGCATGCGTGCTCTCACCTTTGCAGCTGGCGTGGCCTCACCATCTCACTCTTTTCTGCCCTCCAAGCAATATTCTGCCTTAGGGAGTCTCCACTCTGGCCCTGCTCCTTCTTTTTTTATTTAAAAAAATTAAGTTTTTATTTTTTATAGAGATAGGGTTTTGCCATATTGCCCAGGCTGATCTCAAACTCCTGGGCTCAAGCGATCAGTGTGCCTCGGCCTCCCAAAGTGCTGGGATTACAGGCATGAGCCAGCGCGCCTAGCTCTGCCCCGTTTCTTCCTACCACGAGGGAGGCTGTGGGGTGGACCACCGGGCTGTGTGCTAGCAGGCTCTGGGACTAGGGCCCCAGCACACTCCCATTCTCTCATTTCTCTGGACCTTACTTTCTCCATCCTTAAGTAACAGGCAGTGCCGTCCCATAAAACTCTCGGCAGTGGGGGAAGTGTTCTGTGTCCATGCTAATATAGTAGCCAGTTGCGACATGTGACTGTTGAGCTCTTGAAATGTGGCTAGTGCAGCCAATGAGCTACAATTTTAATTTAACGGAATTTTAATTGATTAAATTTAAATAGCTACATGTGGCTGCTGTGTTGGGTGGCACGACTCTAGGTCTCTCCTAGCTCTGAAGGCTTATGGCACTTGGCTGAATCGTGCAGAATTCCCCACAGCTCCAAAGACACTCTTTTGGGTAGCAACAGGGCAGAGCCCTCAGCCTCTGGGGAAAGCCTGACTTAACCTAACTTGTGTGGGAGGAGAAGACAGGGCCATCTGGGCTTGAGACAGGCTCCAGAGCGGGAGGAGAGACTGAGGGCTGGGACCAAACGTGGAGAATGGAGAAAGGGGAACCCCGGCTACATAGTATCCCACGCTGCTCCTTCACTATTCCCTTCAGTATTTCCATGCCCCTCCTCGGAACTGAATGGCCCAGGTCAGATGGGAGGGGAGTCCTTCCAGGCTGTGCCAGGACAGCAGGGCCAGAGCCAGAGCGGGCAGGGTGGTTGGCAGCCCCACCTGGCCGGGAAGCCATTGGGTGGGTGCCCTGCCAGGGCCAACCTGCAGCCTCGGGTCCAATGGCTCCCGTCCTCATGGGCTATTGGATCAGTTGTCTGCTTAGGATGGTTTCTCTCCTCCTCAGGAACCACGTGGGTTGAGGCAGGTAGCAAGTCTGTCCTGGGCCTTTAAAGGGACTTCTGCCCTGGGACTCTGCCTGAGGCACTGGCAGGGAAGCTAACTGCCTGTCTGCAGGGGAGCTCTGGTTCCTCTGGCACCTGGGGATCTGGCCCAGGAGGCACTTTGTCCTTTGGGTTTTAGGCTCAACCCTTTGCAGGTCTGGAGCTGTTGCAGCCAGCTGCAGTGACTCACTGGGGAGGGAGGGAAAAAGGGAGGGTGGGGCCGAGGTGTGGGCGAGGGTGATCTGGCCCAGCTAGCTCTCTCCCCATCGCTGGCTGCTGGCACGGCACCAGGATGCTGGGGTGAGCAAAGGGGCCCTGCTCCAGGAGGAGGACCAGGGGTGTCTGGGCGATCTGAAGGGGTGGCTTCAGTTCTGTCTGAGAGATGAAGTCTGGAATCTTTTTTCCCTCCCTGCCTCTGCCCGGGTCCTTTTCTGCAGGGCTAGCTGCTGAGCACTGGACACTGGGAGAGAATGTGCCATTTAAGCCCCAGCTTTGCTGTTTCACACTGGGAAGGGTCAGAGTGATTTCCCGTCGCAGCCTTCTCTGCGGCCAGAAGGGAGGAGGTGTTTTCCCCAGTTTGCACCTGAGCCCACAGGCTCAGAGTCTTTGCTCACCTTGTAGCCAGCACCTGTGTTGACAAGGAGACACGTCGTCCACACCGCGTTGTCAAACGGGAGGATGGCTGTCGGGGGCTGGGGTCTGTGTTTCTCTTTCATCCGTGTTGTGATCTGCCTGAGATAGGAACTGCTAAGTGCCCACAAATTCCTAAGAGACACAGTCTTGTCCTCAGAGGTCACCTCTAGCGCCTTCAAGACCCCATGTACATTTCATTTCCCCCAGAAAGCTCCCAAGCCTTCTGGAATATTCTGCGGCAAAATCGGTCACAGCTAGTGCACCTTGCTCATCTGATGTGTGTCTGTGACAGAAACTGAGTCTTAAATCTCCCTGTCCGGCACATGGGTGCGTGAGTGACGTGAGGTCACCGTCTAATGCAGCATATGATTAGGTGCCGGGCCCAGCTGTGTCCATCCCTGGCCGGTTCCGTCTGCAGTGCAAAGTATAGTGTTGGGCATAGGGAGGCAGCCGGTATACGTGCATTGATTGACTGTTGATACTTTTTGGATGTAAACAGCTGTAGGCGGGGCTTTGGGTCAGGTTCCCCATGACTTATAGTGTTCCTCACACCATTTCAATTGGTGGCCACTGCCGCCATTTTGTGTGGTGGCTGTAGTCCGTGGCCCTGTGCAGAGAGAGTCCTGCCTGGTATCTTTCCAGGGCGCCTGCAGATGACAGCTCATCCTGTGGCTGGAGGGCGAATTTATTACTAAATGCTTGCATTTAAAGGGGCCTGGCTCAGGGCCTGGTGTGGGCAGCCAGTGGGCCTGGACTCACCCTGGGCCAAGTCGGGCTCATCTGGGCTCTAGCCTCTAGGGTTTGGGTGGTGCCTGGTGGGGCTGGGACCTCCTGTGTTCAGGCAGCTTCCTGTGGCAGGGCTTCCGGCGCTGCCAGCTGGTGAGGCACCCCCTTGGTCCCAGGGACTGGGTGAGACCAGGTGGCCCGAGCTGTCTCTGAGGGAGGTGGAACACTGCCATTCCTCCTTGGAGGCAGCCTCTGAGGAGGCTCCCACCTGTTACAAGCAGCAGACCTGGGATGGAGTAGGCAAAAGAGTTACAGACTCGGTGGGCCAGGCGCGGCGGCTCATGCCTGTAATCCCAGCACTTTTGGGAGGCCGAGGAGGATGGATCACGAGGTCAGGAGTTCAAGACCAACTTGGCCAAGATGGTGAAACCCCATCTCTATAAAAATACCAAAAATTAGCTGGGCGTGATGGGTGTAATCCCAGCTACTCAGGAGACTGAGGCAGAGAATTGCTTGAACCTGGGAGGGGGAGGTTGCAGTGAGCAGAGATCATGCCACTGCACACCAGCCTGGGCTACAAAGCGAGATTCCGTCTCAAAAAAAAAAGGAGTTACAGACTCGGGTCCAAGCCCAGCATAGTTGTGCTGTCATGTGTACCCCGGGTAAGCTGTTCTCTCAGAGACTCAGTCTCTGTCTGTGAAGTTGGCACAGTAACATCTCCCTCTTGAAGCTGTGGTTGAGAATGTGGGTCGAGGCCAGGCGCGGTGGCTCCTGTTTATAGTCCCAGCACTTTGGGATTGTTTGAGCCCAGGAGTTCTGGACCAGCCTGGGCAACATGGCAAAACCCCATCTCTCCAAAAATACAAAAATTAGCCAGTTGTAGTGGCACGTGGCTGTGGTCCGAGCTACTTGGGTGGCTGAGGCAGGAGGATCACTTGAGTCCAGGAGGTTGAGGCTGCAGTGAGTCGTGATCGCACCCCTGCACTCCAGCCTGTGTGACAGAACCAGACCCTGTCCCAAAAAAATAAAACGAGGCCGAGTGCGTGGCTCACGCCTGTAATCCCAGCACTTTGGGAGGCTGAGGCAGGTGGATCACGAGGTCAGGAGATCGAGATCATCCTGGCTAACACGGTGAAACCCCATCTCTACTAAAACTACAAAAATTAGCTGGGCATGGTGCATGGTGGCGGGCGCCTGTAGTCCCAGCTACTCAGGAGGCTGAGGCAGGAGACTGGCTTGAACCCGGGAGACGGAGCTTGCAGTGAGCCAAGATCTACTATTGCATTCCAGCCTGTGTGACAGAGCGAGACTCCATCTCAAAAAATAATAATAATAAAGAATAAAAAATAAAAATATAAAAAAATAAAAAGAATATGGTGAGAATGTGCATGTGAAGCGGCTCCTGCCGGCTGGTGTTCATTTTTTTCTCCTTTATTGCCTCCATTTTCACAGATGAGGAAATGGAGGTTCAGAAAAGTGAAGTGTCTTGGCCAGGGTCCCACAGCTAGAAGGAGGCAGAGCCAGGATCTGACTCCAAGTCTGGCTCCTCTGAAGTCGCTTTCTGCTATGCCAGGCTGGAGAGTCATGGACGAGTGGAATTGATGGCGGTGGTGGGGGTCGGGGTTGTGAGCTGGCCTGGGTAGCAGAGGACCCGGCTGTCCCTTGGGTGGGGACTCGGAGCAAGCTGACTGCTGACCGGAGTGTGAGCGTCATCATGAACTTTCCCCTAGGTTGTGACCGAGATCCTGACGAGAGAGACTGAGGGGAAGAGAGGAAGGAGGGGCGGGTTCCTGGCAAGGCATTTGCTCCTGAGCGGAATCCTGCAAAGGTCAGTAGGTGGGAGAGGCAGAGAGAGGCGGAGGTGATGGGATGTGGGGAGGGTGGGCCCCGTGTGGATGGGAGGCTGGGGCTGTGGGGGACAGGGATGAAGGACTGGCTGCCTCTGGGGCCAGTTGCCTCTGCTATCTCATTTCCATCTTCTTTGTTATGCCTTGGGAGAACTTCCACAGTGGAAGGACGTGAGACGAGGTAACCCATCCCCAACACCTCACCTGGCAGGTGAGCCGGCTGCAGGGGCAGGCGCGTTGCCGAGGGCCCCACTCCTGGAGTTTATAGCACCGGAGATCGCTAGCTTTCCTGTGCCCTAACGTCCTCCCACCCGCACTGACCCCAGCTCCATTTCCTCACCTCATCCCAGATGGAGAAGGAGGAGGAGACAACCCGGGAGCTGCTGCTGCCCAACTGGCAGGGTAGCGGCTCCCACGGGCTGACCATCGCCCAAAGGGATGACGGCGTCTTTGTGCAGGAGGTGACGCAGAACTCCCCTGCGGCCCGCACTGGGGTGGTCAAGGAGGGTGAGTCTCCAGGGTATGGACTGGGTGCTGGAGGTTGGGGGGTCGGCGGGGGTGTTGGAGGGAAGGGCAGGGAGCAGGCAGAAGTGGGCGAGTGGCTGCCGAGGGCCTGTTCCCAGTGGCATCAGGATGGGCGGTACCCAAGCCCTGCCCTCTCTTGGCCACTCTGTGTCTGTCACTTGTGGTCCTCAGGGGAGGCAGTTGTGTGGGGTAGTGGACACCTGGTCCTCAGATCTGACTCCACCACCCACTAGCTCTGCAGATTTGGGCAAACGAGTTGGCCTTGCTTTTTTTTTTTTTTTTTTGTGATGGAGTTTTGCTCTTGTTGCCCAGGCTGGAGTGCAATGGCACCATCTCAGCTCAGTGCAACCTCCGCCTCCTGGGTTCAAGCGATTCTTCTGCCTCAGCCTCCAGGGTAGCTGGGATTACAGGCATGCGCCACCACACCTGGCTAATTTTGCATTTTTAGTACAGACGGGGTTTCTCTATGTTGGTCATTCTGGTCTCAAACTCCTGACCTCAGGCGATCTGTCCGCCTCGGCCTCCCAAAGTGCTGGGATTATAGGCGTGAGCCACCGTGCCTGGCCCCCACAAATTGGCCTTTTTAAGCCTCAGTTTCCATGTCTGTACAATGGGTATTACCACGCCCACCTTGAGGGTGGTCATGAGATCAAGTTAGTTCAGTGCCCAGTGTGTGGTGGCTATGTGCGATTTCCCTGAGGCTCTTTGGGCCTTACCTGCTTCCTGCTCTTCCCTGCTCAGGGGACCAGATTGTGGGTGCCACCATCTACTTTGACAACCTGCAGTCGGACGAGGTGACCCAGCTGCTGAACACCATGGGGCACCACACGGTGGGCCTGAAGCTGCACCGCAAGGGGGACCGCTCCCCCGAGCCTGGCCAGACCTGGACCCGTGAAGTCTTCAGCTCCCGCAGCTCTGAAGTGGTTCTGGTGAGTACCTCGCCGGCCCATCTGTGCCCTGAGCTCCCCCGGCCACACCAGCCTGCTGACCCCACTCCTGAGCCTCCCATCTGCCTCCGGAGCCTCTCTTTTTGCTCCTTCTCCTCCTCTCACCTGTCTTCACTCGCTTGATCTCTTGGCCACCCTGTTTCTTTCTGCTTTCATGTGACATGTGGCTGTGCTGCCCCTAAATGTCTTCAATGAGTCTCTTCAGAGTGGCCACAGTGTGGGAACTGACTTGTGCAGCCCGGCCCTAGATGCTAGGAGGAAGGTCGGCTGTTTTGCAAGAGCCTTTCAAATGGCTTCACAGGTGCCCAGCTCCACCTCACAGGCACCATTTTTCTCTCTGCAGAGGCCTGATACATTCTGTGGGTCAGACGCTGGACAGCAAAGTGCCTGTGGGGACATTGTTCCTTCTCATGGCTTGTTTATTTAACAAATAATGGGTCCTCAAAGTGAGACTGTTAACCCAAGCACAATCAATCTTAGGCTCAACAAGTGCTTTCCAGGGTACAAGGGCCTCTGAGAAAATTCCCCTCCTGGTTAAACAAACGAGCCAGTGGGTTGAGAGTTGGGAGCTGAAGGGCCGGGTCTCTTGGGAGGTCTCCCTGGCACAGGCCGATTTGAATCTCTAACTGAATGGAAATCCTTCCAGTCCAAGAGTATACCTCCCCCTCCCTCCCCATGGTTTTTGCTTCCCGGTATGACCTCCAGAGAATTTCTGATTTCCTCCTGTGATGTGACTGTCAACCCCTTTCTTTACTCCCTTGTGCTGTGGCCCAGGAGGCTCCATGGACCTCTGTTTTGGTCCCAGCTTCTCTGGGAAACAGGCAACGTGTTGTCGGCTGGGCTGTGGCCGGGCATTTGCTAACTCAGGCAGACTCTGCTGCAACCTCTGCCCGGCGTGTGTTTCTGCAGAGCGGGGATGATGAGGAGTACCAGCGCATCTACACCACGAAGATCAAGCCACGGCTGAAGTCGGAAGACGGAGTGGAAGGAGACCTTGGGGAGACCCAGAGCCGCACCATCACGGTGACCAGAAGAGTCACGGCCTACACTGTGGATGTGACCGGCCGGGAAGGAGCCAAGGACATAGACATCAGTAGCCCTGAATTCAAGATCAAGATTCCAAGACATGAACGGACTGAAATCTCCAATGTGGATGTGGAGACCCAGTCTGGAAAGACCGTGATCAGACTGCCCTCGGGCTCGGGGGCAGCCTCTCCAACGCCAGGCTCTGCTGTGGATATCCGAGCAGGGGCCATTTCTGCTTCAGGACCAGAGCTCCAAGGTGCTGGCCACTCAAAGCTCCAGGTCACCATGCCTGGGATAAAGGTGGGAGGCTCAGGTGTCAATGTCAGTGCAAAGGGCTTGGACTTGGGTGGCAGAGGAGGGGTCCAAGTTCCAGCAGTGGACATTTCATCTTCTCTTGGGGGTGGGGCAGTAGAGGTGCAGGGCCCATCTCTGGAGAGTGGTGATCATGGCAAAATTAAAATTCCCACCATGAAGGTGCCGAAATTTGGTGTCTTGACAGGGCCTGAGGGCCAGACGCCCGAGGCAGGGCTGAGGGTTTCTGCACCTGAAGTCTCTGTGGGGCACAAGGGCGGCAAGCCAGGCTTGACTATTCAAGCCCCTCAGCTGGAAGTCAGCGTGCCCTCTGCCAATATTGGGGGCCTTGAGGGGAAGCTGAAGGGGCCCCAAATCACTGGGCCATCACTTGAGGGTGACCTAGGCCTGAAAGGTGCCAAGCCACAGGGGCGCATTGGGGTCGACGCCTCTGCTCCCCAAATTGGGGGTAGCATCACTGGCCCCAGTGTGGAAGTTCAGGCCCCTGACATTGATGTTCAGGGGCCTGGGAGCAAACTGAACGTGCCCAAGATGAAAGTCCCCAAGTTCTCTGTATCAGGTGCAAAGGGAGAGGAAACTGGGATTGATGTGACACTGCCTACAGGTGAAGTGACTGTCCCTGGGGTCTCTGGGGATGTCAGCCTGCCTGAGATTGCTACTGGTGGGCTGGAAGGAAAGATGAAAGGTACTAAAGTCAAGACTCCTGAAATGATTATTCAGAAACCTAAAATCTCCATGCAGGATGTGGATCTGAGCCTTGGGTCTCCTAAACTGAAAGGAGATATTAAGGTTTCTGCTCCTGGGGTGCAAGGTGATGTTAAAGGCCCTCAAGTGGCAGTTAAAGGCCCCAGAGTGAACATAGAGACCCCAAACCTAGAGGGAACCTTGACAGGCCCCAGGCTTGGCAGTCCTTCTGGGAAAACCGGAACCTGTAGGATCTCTATGGCAGAAGTAGACTTAAATGTGGCCACACCTAAAGTGAAAGGGGGTGTAGATGTTACACTCCCCAAAGTAGAAGGGAAAGTCAAAGTCCCTGAAGTTGATGTCAAAGGCCCCAAAGTGGACATCAGTGCCCCAGATGTCGAAGCACATGGCCCAGAATGGAACCTGAAAATGCCCAAGATGAAAATGCCCACGTTCAGCACTCCAGGAGCCAAAGGGGAAGGTCCAGATGTGCATATGACTCTACCCAAAGGAGATGTCAGTATTTCAGGGCCCAAGGTCAGTGTGGAAGCCCCAGATGTCAACATAGAGGGTCTGGGGGGGAAGCTTAAAGGCCGCCCTGATGTTAAGCTGCCTGATATGAGTGTCAAGACACCAAAGATCTCCATGCCTGATGTAGATTTGCACGTGAAAGGTACAAAGGTGAAGGGAGAGTATGATGTAACTGTACCAAAGCTTGAAGGAGAACTCAAAGGCCCGAAAGTGAACATTGATGCCCCAGATGTGGATGTTCATGGCCCAGACTGGCACTTGAAGATGCCCAAGATGAAAATACCCAAATTCAGTGCGCCAGGGTTCAAAGCAGAGGGCCCAGAAGTGGATGTGAACCTGCCCAAGGCTGATGTGGACATTTCCGGGCCCAAGGTAGATGTTAGTGTTCCTGATGTGAGCATTGAGGGACCAGAAGGGAAATTGAAAGGGCCCAAGTTTAAGATGCCTGAGATGAACATCAAAGTCCCCAAGATCTCCATGCCTGATGTGGATTTACATTTGAAAGGCCCTAACGTAAAGGGAGAATATGATGTCACAATGCCAAAGGTTGAAAGTGAGATTAAAGTTCCTGATGTTGAACTTAAAAGTGCCAAAGTGGACATCGATGCCCCAGATGTGGAGGTTCAAGGTCCAGACTGGCACCTGAAGATGCCCAAGATGAAAATGCCCAAGTTCAGCATGCCTGGCTTCAAAGCAGAGGGCCCAGAAGTGGATGTGAACCTGCCCAAGGCTGAAGTTGACATCTCAGGACCCAAGGTGGATGTTGAAGTTCCAGATGTGAATATTGAAGGACCTGAAGGAAAGCTGAAGGGCCCCAAGTTCAAGATGCCAGAGATGAATATCAAGGCCCCCAAGATCTCCATGCCTGATGTGGACTTGCATATGAAAGGTCCTAAAGTAAAGGGAGAATATGATGTGACAGTGCCAAAGCTGGAAGGGGAGCTGAAAGGCCCAAAAGTAGATGTCAGTGCCCCAGATGTTGAAATGCAGGGTCCTGACTGGAACTTGAAGATGCCAAAGATTAAAATGCCCAAATTTAGCATGCCCAGCCTCAAAGGAGAGGGGCCAGAATTGGATGTGAACCTGTCCAAAGCGAATGTGGACATTTCTGCACCAAAAGTAGACCTTAGTGCTCCAGATCTGAGCCTTGAAGGACCTGAAGGGAAGTTGAAAGGCCCCAAGTTTAAGATGCCTGAGATGCACTTCAAAGCTCCTAAGATGTCTCTGCCAGATGTTGACCTGGATCTTAAAGGACCCAAAATGAAAGGAAATGTAGATATTTCTGCACCAAAGATAGAGGGTGAGATGCAGGTTCCAGATGTGGACATCAGAGGTCCCAAGGTAGACATTAAAGCACCAGATGTGGAAGGCCAAGGCCCAGACTGGAGCCTGAAAATACCCAAGATGAAAATGCCCAAGTTCAGCATGCCCAGTCTCAAAGGTGAGGGCCCAGAAGTGGATGTGAACTTGCCTAAGGCTGACATTGCTGTCTCAGGACCCAAGGTGGACATTGAAGCCCCAGATGTGAGCCTCGAAGGTCCAGAAGGGAAACTGAAGGGTCCCAAGTTTAAGATGCCTGAGATGCACTTCAAGACCCCCAAGATCTCCATGCCAGATGTGGACTTACACTTAAAAGGCCCTAAAGTCAAAGGGGATGTGGATTTGTCTGTGCCCAAGGTAGAAGGTGAAATGAAAGTGCCAGATGTTGACATCAAAGGACCCAAAGTGGACATTGATGCCCCGGATGTGGATGTTCATGGCCCAGACTGGCACCTGAAGATGCCCAAGATGAAAATGCCCAAGTTCAGCATGCCTGGCTTCAAAGCAGAGGGCCCTGAAGTGGATGTGAACCTCCCCAAGGCCGACATTGATGTCTCAGGACCCAAGGTGGATGTTGAAGTCCCAGATGTGAGCCTTGAGGGCCCGGAAGGAAAGCTGAAGGGCCCCAAGTTTAAGATGCCTGAGATGCACTTCAAGACCCCCAAGATCTCCATGCCTGATGTGGACCTGAATCTTAAGGGGCCAAAACTGAAGGGAGATGTGGATGTGTCCTTGCCTGAGGTAGAAGGTGACATGAAAGTGCTAGATGTTGATATCAAAGGGCCCAAAGTTGACATTAGTGCTCCAGATGTGGATGTTCATGGCCCAGACTGGCACCTAAAGATGCCCAAGGTGAAAATGCCCAAGTTCAGCATGCCTGGCTTCAAAGGAGAGGGCCCTGAAGTGGATGTGAAGCTGCCCAAGGCTGACCTTGATGTCTCAGGACCCAAGGTGGATGTTGAAGTTCCAGATGTGAATATCGAAGGTCCAGACGCAAAACTAAAAGGTCCTAAATTCAAGATGCCAGAAATGAATATAAAGCCTCAGAAGATATCCATGCCAGATGTGGGTTTGCATTTGAAAGGTCCTAAAATGAAAGATTATGATGTTACAGTTCCAAAAGTAGAAGGAGAGATAAAAGCTTCTGATGTTGACATCAAAGGCCCAAAAGTTGACATTAATGCACCAGATGTGGAGGTTCATGGCCCAGACTGGCACCTGAAGATGCCCAAGGTGAAAATGCCCAAGTTCAGCATGCCTGGCTTCAAAGGAGAGGGCCCTGAAGTGGATGTGAACCTGCCCAAGGCTGACATTGGTGTTTCGGGACCCAAGGTGGACATTGATGTTCCAGATGTGAATCTTGAAACTCCAGAGGGAAAACTAAAAGGCCCTAAGTTCAAGATGCCAAGCATGAATATACAGACACACAAAATCTCTATGCCTGATGTTGGGCTTAATTTGAAAGCTCCTAAACTGAAAACTGATGTAGATGTTTCCCTTCCCAAAGTGGAAGGAGATTTGAAGGGTCCTGAAATTGATGTGAAAGCCCCTAAGATGGATGTGAATGTTGGTGATATTGATATTGAAGGTCCAGAAGGGAAGTTGAAGGGCCCCAAGTTTAAGATGCCTGAGATGCATTTCAAGACCCCCAAGATCTCCATGCCGGATGTGGACTTACACTTGAAAGGCCCCAAAGTCAAAGGGGATGTGGATGTGTCTGTGCCCAAGGTAGAAGGTGAAATGAAAGTGCCGGATGTTGACATCAAAGGACCCAAAGTGGACATTGATGCCCCAGATGTGGAGGTTCAAGGCCCAGATTGGCATCTGAAGATGCCCAAGATGAAAATGCCCAAGTTCAGTATGCCCGGCTTCAAAGCAGAGGGCCCCGAAGTGGATGTGAATCTGCCAAAGGCTGACATTGATGTGTCTGGACCCAGTGTGGACATTGATGCTCCTGATTTGGATATTGAGGGACCAGAAGGAAAGTTGAAAGGCTCCAAATTTAAGATGCCCAAGTTGAATATAAAAGCTCCCAAGATCTCCATGCCAGATGTGGACTTGAATTTGAAGGGACCCAAACTGAAGGGAGAGATAGATGCTTCTGTGCCAGAACTGGAAGGTGATCTCAGAGGGCCGCAAGTTGATATCAAAGGTCCTTCTGTGGGAGCGGAGGTGCCTGATGTTGATCTGGAGTGTCCTGATGCAAAGTTGAAAGGGCCCAAGTTTAAGATGCCTGAGATGCACTTCAAGGCCCCCAAGATCTCCATGCCTGATGTGGACTTACACTTGAAAGGCCGCAAAGTCAAAGGGGATGTGGATGTGTCTGTGCCCAAGGTAGAAGGTGAAATGAAAGTGCCAGATGTTGACATCAAAGGACCCAAAGTGGACATTGATGCCCCAGATGTGGATGTTCATGGCCCAGACTGGCACCTGAAGATGCCCAAGATGAAAATGCCCAAGTTCAGCATGCCTGGCTTCAAAGCAGAGGGCCCTGAAGTGGATGTGAACCTGCCCAAGGCTGATGTCGATGTCTCAGGACCCAAGGTGGACGTTGAAGTTCCAGATGTGAGCCTTGAAGGTCCAGAAGGGAAGCTGAAGGGCCCCAAGTTTAAGATGCCTGAGATGCACTTCAAGACCCCCAAGATCTCCATGCCAGATGTGGACTTACACTTGAAAGGCCCCAAAATCAAAGGGGATGTGGATGTGTCTGTACCAAAATTGGAAGGAGATTTAACAGGCCCCAGTGTGGATCTGGAGATGCCTGATGTTGAGCTGGAGTGTCCTGATGCAAAGTTGAAAGGCCCTAAATTTAAGATGCCAGACATGCACTTCAAGACCCCCAAGATCTCCATGCCAGATGTGGACTTACACTTGAAAGGCCCTAAAGTCAAAGGGGATGTGGATGTGTCTGTACCAAAATTGGAGGGAGATTTAACAGGCCCCAGTGTAGATGTGGAGGTGCCTGATGTTGAGCTGGAGTGTCCTGATGCAAAGTTGAAAGGGCCCAAGTTTAAGATGCCTGAGATGCACTTCAAGACCCCCAAGATCTCCATGCCGGATGTGAACTTAAACTTGAAAGGCCCCAAAGTCAAAGGGGATGTGGATGTGTCTGTGCCCAAGGTAGAAGGTGAAATGAAAGTGCCAGATGTTGACATCAAAGGGCCCAAAGTGGACATTGATGCCCCAGATGTGGATGTTCATGGCCCAGACTGGCACCTGAAGATGCCCAAGATGAAAATGCCCAAGTTCAGCATGCCTGGCTTCAAAGCAGAGGGCCCTGAAGTGGATGTGAACTTACCCAAGGCTGACATTGATGTCTCAGGACCCAAGGTGGATGTCGAAGTCCCAGATGTGAGCCTTGAATGTCCAGAAGGGAAGCTGAAGGGCCCCAAGTTTAAGATGCCTGAGATGCACTTTAAGACCCCCAAGATCTCCATGCCTGATGTCGATTTCAATTTAAAGGGACCCAAAATCAAAGGAGATGTTGACGTTTCTGCCCCAAAGCTGGAAGGAGAGTTAAAAGGTCCAGAATTGGATGTCAAAGGTCCCAAATTAGATGCTGACATGCCAGAAGTAGCTGTGGAAGGCCCAAATGGCAAGTGGAAAACTCCTAAGTTCAAGATGCCAGATATGCACTTTAAAGCTCCCAAAATCTCTATGCCAGACCTCGATCTACACTTGAAGGGCCCCAAGGCAAAAGGAGAGGTGGATGTAGATGTTCCCAAATTGGAAGGGGAACTTAAAGGGCCACATGTGGACGTCAGTGGGCCAGACATTGACATTGAGGGACCAGAGGGCAAATTGAAAGGCCCTAAGTTCAAGATGCCTGATATGCATTTCAAAGCCCCCAGTATTTCTATGCCGGATGTTGACCTAAATCTCAAAGGACCCCAAATCAAGGGGGATGTAGATGTGTCTGTGCCTGAGGTAGAAGGTAAAATTGAAGTACCAGATGTGAACATCAAGGGCCCCAAAGTTGATGTAAATGCCCCCGATGTCCAAGGTCCAGACTGGCACCTAAAGATGCCCAAGATGAAAATGCCCAAGTTCAGCATGCCTGGCTTCAAAGCAGAGGGCCCTGAAGTGGGTGTAAACCTGCCCAAGGCCGACATTGATGTCTCAGGACCCAAAGTGGACATTGAAGGCCCTGATGTTAACATTGAAGGACCAGACGGAAAGTTGAAAGGGCCTAAGTTCAAGATGCCAGAGATGAACATCAAAGCCCCCAAGATCTCCATGCCTGACTTTGATTTGCATCTGAAAGGTCCCAAGGTGAAGGGCGATGTGGATGTTTCTCTGCCCAAAGTGGAAGGCGACCTCAAGGGCCCCGAAGTTGACATCAAGGGGCCCAAAGTGGATATCGATGCCCCAGATGTGGGTGTTCAAGGCCCAGACTGGCACCTGAAGATGCCCAAGGTGAAAATGCCAAAGTTCAGCATGCCTGGCTTCAAGGGAGAGGGCCCAGATGTGGATGTGAAGCTGCCCAAGGCTGACATTGATGTCTCGGGACCCAAAGTGGACATTGAAGGCCCTGATGTTAACATTGAAGGGCCGGAGGGAAAATTGAAAGGGCCTAAGTTCAAGATGCCAGAGATGAACATCAAAGCCCCCAAGATCTCCATGCCTGACTTTGACTTAAACCTGAAAGGCCCCAAAGTAAAGGGTGATGTGGATGTTTCCCTTCCTAAAGTGGAAGGTGACCTCAAGGGCCCAGAAGTTGATATCAAGGGCCCAAAAGTGGACATTGACGCACCTGATGTTGATGTTCATGGCCCAGACTGGCACCTAAAGATGCCCAAGATAAAAATGCCCAAGATCAGCATGCCTGGCTTCAAAGGAGAGGGTCCAGATGTGGATGTGAACCTACCCAAGGCTGACCTTGATGTCTCAGGACCGAAAGTGGATGTTGAGTGTCCCGATGTGAATATTGAAGGACCTGAAGGAAAGTGGAAAAGTCCAAAGTTTAAGATGCCTGAGATGCATTTTAAGACTCCAAAGATATCCATGCCGGATATTGACCTGAATCTCACAGGTCCAAAAATAAAAGGAGATGTGGACGTTACAGGCCCTAAGGTAGAGGGAGATCTGAAAGGTCCTGAAGTTGACCTCAAAGGCCCCAAAGTGGACATTGATGTCCCAGATGTTAATGTTCAGGGTCCAGACTGGCACTTGAAGATGCCCAAGATGAAAATGCCCAAGTTCAGCATGCCTGGCTTCAAAGCAGAGGGCCCAGATCTGGATGTGAACCTGCCCAAGGCTGACATTGATGTCTCAGGACCCAAAGTGGACATTGAAGGCCCTGATGTTAACATTGAAGGACCAGACGGAAAGTTGAAAGGGCCTAAGTTCAAGATGCCAGAGATGAACATCAAAGCCCCCAAGATCTCCATGCCTGACTTTGATTTGCATCTGAAAGGTCCCAAGGTGAAGGGCGATGTGGATGTTTCTCTGCCCAAAGTGGAAGGCGACCTCAAGGGCCCCGAAGTTGACATCAAGGGCCCCAAAGTGGACATTGATGTCCCGGATGTGGATGTTCAAGGCCCAGACTGGCACCTGAAGATGCCCAAGGTGAAAATGCCCAAGTTCAGCATGCCTGGTTTCAAAGGAGAGGGCCCAGATGTGGATGTGAACCTGCCCAAGGCTGACATTGACGTCTCAGGACCCAAAGTGGACATTGATGTTCCAGATGTGAATATCGAAGGTCCAGAGGGAAAGTTAAAAGGTCCCAAGTTCAAGATGCCTGAGATGAATATCAAAGCCCCCAAGATCTCCATGCCTGACATTGATCTTCACCTGAAAGGCCCCAAGGTGAAGGGTGATGTGGATGTGTCTCTGCCCAAAGTGGAAGGTGACGTGAAAGTTCCTGATGTGGATATTAAAGGCCCCAAAGTGGACATTGATGCCCCAGATGTGGACGTTCAAGGCCCAGACTGGCACCTGAAGATGCCTAAGATAAAAATGCCAAAGATCAGCATGCCTGGCTTCAAAGGAGAAGGTCCAGAAGTGGATGTGAACCTGCCCAAGGCTGACCTTGACATCTCAGGACCCAAGGTGGACATTGATGTTCCAGATATGAATATTGAAGGTCCAGATGCAAAACTGAAGGGCCCTAAATTCAAGATGCCAGAGATGAACATCAAAGCTCCTAAAATATCAATGCCTGATTTAGACCTCAATCTTAAAGGCCCTAAGATGAAAGGAGAGGTGGATGTTTCACTTCCAAATGTAGAAGGTGATTTGAAAGGACCTGCTCTTGACATAAAAGGCCCAAAGATAGATGTAGATGCTCCAGATATTGACATTCATGGCCCAGATGCCAAATTAAAAGGTCCAAAACTGAAGATGCCTGACATGCATGTAAACATGCCTAAGATCTCCATGCCAGAAATTGACTTGAATTTGAAAGGCTCAAAGCTTAAAGGAGATGTCGATGTCTCTGGGCCCAAGTTGGAAGGTGACATTAAAGCTCCCGGTTTGGATATAAAGGGCCCAGAAGTGGACGTTTCTGGTCCTAAGCTTAATATTGAAGGCAAGTCAAAGAAATCTCGTTTTAAGCTTCCCAAATTTAATTTTTCAGGCTCCAAAGTTCAGACACCTGAGGTGGATGTCAAAGGTAAAAAGCCAGATATTGACATAACAGGTCCAAAAGTTGATATTAATGCTCCTGATGTCGAGGTCCAAGGAAAAGTGAAAGGATCCAAGTTTAAAATGCCTTTCCTGAGTATTTCATCTCCCAAAGTTTCTGTGCCTGATGTGGAGCTAAATTTGAAAGGTCCTAAAGTCAAAGGAGACTTAGATGTTGCAGGTCCCAATTTAGAGGGTGACTTGAAAGGCCCCAAAGTGGATATTAAGGCACCAGAAGTCAATCTAAATGCACCTGAGGTGGATGTTCATGGTCCAGACTGGAATCTGAAAATGCCCAAGATGAAAATGCCCAAATTCAGTGTGCCTGGCTTAAAAGCAGAAGGGCCAGATGTAGCTTTGGATCTGCCAAAAGGAGACATCAACATAGAGGGCCCAAGTATGAACATTGAGGGCCCAGAACTCAATGTGGAAGGTCCAGAGGGAGGCTTGAAAGGCCCCAAATTCAAGATGCCTGACATGAATGTCAAAGCTCCCAAGATCTCCATGCCTGACCTTGACTTCAACTTGAAGGGCCCCAAGGTGAAAGGTGATGTGGATGTTTCTCTTCCCAAACTTGAAGGGGATCTGAAAGGGCCAGAGGTTGATATCAAAGGCCCTAAAGTGGACATCAGTGCCCCAGATGTGGATGTTCATGGTCCAGACTGGCATCTGAAGATGCCCAAAGTGAAAATGCCCAAGTTCAGCATGCCTGGCTTCAAAGGAGAGGGCCCAGAAGTGGATGTGAACCTGCCCAAGGCTGACCTTGACATCTCAGGACCCAAGGTGGACATTGATGTTCCAGATGTGAATATTGAAGGTCCGGATGCAAAGCTGAAGGGCCCCAAGTTCAAGATGCCAGAGATGAACATCAAAGCCCCCAAGATCTCCATGCCTGACTTTGACCTGAACTTGAAGGGACCGAAAATGAAGGGCGATGTGGATGTTTCCCTTCCTAAAATGGAAGGTGACCTCAAGGGCCCAGAAGTTGACATCAAGGGCCCCAAAGTGGACATTGACACTCCTGACATTAACATTGAAGGCCCAGAGGGTAAATTGAAGGGACCCAAATTTAAGGTACCAGAGATGCATCTGAAGTCTCCCAAAATATCGATGCCTGACATTGATTTAAACCTGAAGGGCCCCAAGGTGAAGGGCGATGTGGACGTTTCTCTGCCCAAAGTGGAAGGCGACCTTAAGGGCCCTGAAGTTGACATCAAAGGCCCCAAAGTGGACATTAATGCTCCGGATGTGGATGTTCAAGGCCCAGACTGGCACCTGAAGATGCCCAAGGTGAAAATGCCCAAGTTCAGCATGCCTGGTTTCAAAGGAGAGGGCCCAGATGTGGATGTGAACCTGCCCAAGGCTGACATTGATGTCTCAGGCCCCAAGGTGGACATTGATGTTCCAGATGTGAATATCGAAGGGCCAGAGGGAAAGTTGAAAGGGCCTAAGTTCAAGATGCCTGAAATGAACATCAAAGCCCCCAAGATCTCCATGCCTGACATTGATCTTCACCTGAAAGGCCCCAAGGTGAAGAGTGACGTGGATGTGTCTCTGCCCAAAGTGGAAGGTGATGTGAAAGTTCCTGATGTGGATATTAAAGGCCCCAAAGTGGATATTAATGCCCCAGATGTGGATGTTCAAGGCCCAGACTGGCACCTGAAGATGCCTAAGATAAAAATGCCAAAGATCAGCATGCCTGGCTTCAAAGGAGAAGGTCCAGAAGTGGATGTGAACCTGCCCAAGGCTGACATTGACGTCTCAGGGCCCAAGGTGGACATTGATGTTCCAGATGTGAATATCGAAGGTCCAGATGCGAAACTGAAGGGCCCTAAATTCAAGATGCCAGAGATGAACATCAAAGCTCCCAAGATCTCCATGCCTGATTTTGATTTGCATTTGAAAGGCCCTAAGGTGAAAGGAGATGTGGATGTTTCTCTGCCTAAGATGGAAGGTGATCTAAAGGCCCCTGAAGTTGACATCAAGGGCCCCAAAGTGGACATTGATGCCCCAGATGTGGATGTTCATGGTCCAGACTGGCACCTGAAGATGCCCAAGGTGAAAATGCCCAAATTCAGCATGCCAGGATTTAAAGGAGAGGGCCCAGAAGTGGATGTTAATTTGCCCAAAGCTGACATTGATGTCTCAGGACCCAAAGTGGACATTGACACTCCTGATATTGACATTCATGGTCCAGAAGGGAAACTGAAGGGCCCCAAATTTAAAATGCCTGACCTGCACCTCAAGGCACCGAAGATCTCTATGCCGGAAGTTGACCTGAATCTGAAAGGTCCAAAGGTGAAGGGTGATGTGGACGTTTCTCTGCCCAAAGTGGAAGGTGACCTCAAGGGCCCCGAAGTTGACATCAAGGGCCCCAAAGTGGACGTTGATGTCCCAGATGTGGATGTTCAAGGCCCAGACTGGCACCTAAAAATGCCCAAAGTGAAAATGCCCAAGTTCAGCATGCCTGGTTTTAAAGGAGAGGGCCCAGAAGTGGATGTGAACCTGCCCAAGGCTGACTTTGACGTCTCAGGACCCAAGGTGGACATTGATGTTCCAGATGTGAATATCGAAGGTCCAGATGCGAAACTGAAGGGCCCCAAGTTCAAGATGCCAGAGATGAACATCAAAGCCCCCAAGATCTCCATGCCTGACTTTGATTTGCATCTGAAAGGCCCCAAGGTGAAGGGCGATGTGGATGTTTCCCTTCCTAAAGTGGAAGGCGACCTCAAGGGCCCAGAAGTTGACATCAAGGTCCCCAAAGTGGACATCGACGCCCCTGATGTGGATGTTCAAGGCCCAGACTGGCACCTGAAGATGCCCAAGGTGAAAATGCCCAAGTTCAGCATGCCAGGATTCAAAGGGGAGGGCCCAGATGTGGATGTGAACCTGCCCAAGGCTGATATTGACATCTCTGCCCCCAAAGTGGACATTGATGCCCCTGATGTCAGTATTGAAGGTCCAGATGCAAAACTGAAGGGCCCAAAGTTCAAGATGCCAGAGATGAACATCAAGGCCCCGAAGATCTCCATGCCTGACCTTGACTTTAACTTGAAGGGCCCCAAAGTGAAGGGTGATGTGGGTGTCTCTCTACCCAAAGTGGAAGGTGATCTCAAGGGCCCTGAAATTGACATAAAAGGCCCCAGTTTGGACATGGACACCCCTGATGTCAATATTGGAGGTCCGGAAGGAAAACTGAAGGGGCCCAAATTTAAGATGCCTGAGATGAACATCAAAGCCCCCAAGATCTCCATGCCTGACTTTGACTTGCATCTGAAAGGTCCAAAAGCAAAGGGCGATGTGGATGTTTCACTACCTAAGCTGGAAGGTGATCTGAAAGGACCAGAGGTAGACATCGAAGGTCCTGAAGGGAAGCTCAAAGGTCCCAAGTTTAAGATGCCTGATGTTCATTTCAAAACCCCACAAATCTCCATGAGTGACATTGATTTGAATTTGAAAGGACCTAAGATAAAAGGAGATATGGACATTTCCGTTCCTAAACTGGAAGGAGATCTGAAAGGTCCCCAAGTGGATGTCAAAGGCCCTAAAGTGGACATTGACACTCCTGATATTGACATTCATGGTCCAGAAGGGAAACTGAAGGGCCCCAAATTTAAAATGCCTGACCTGCACCTCAAGGCACCGAAGATCTCTATGCCGGAAGTTGACCTGAATCTGAAAGGTCCAAAGGTGAAGGGCGATGTGGACATTTCTCTACCCAAAGTGGAAGGCGACCTCAAGGGCCCCGAAGTTGACATCAGGGGCCCCAAAGTGGACGTTGATGTCCCAGATGTGGATGTTCAAGGCCCAGACTGGCACCTAAAAATGCCCAAAGTGAAAATGCCCAAGTTCAGCATGCCTGGCTTCAAAGGAGAGGGCCCAGAAGTGGATGTGAACCTGCCCAAGGCTGACTTTGACGTCTCAGGACCCAAGGTGGACATTGATGTTCCAGATGTGAATATCGAAGGTCCAGATGCGAAACTGAAGGGCCCCAAGTTCAAGATGCCTGAGATGAACATCAAAGCCCCCAAGATCTCCATGCCTGACTTTGACTTAAACCTGAAAGGCCCCAAAGTGAAGGGCGATGTGGATGTTTCCCTTCCTAAAGTGGAAGGCGATCTCAAGGGCCCAGAAGTTGACATCAAGGGCCCAAAAGTGGACATCGACGCCCCTGATGTGGATGTTCAAGGCCCAGATTGGCACCTGAAGATGCCCAAGGTGAAAATGCCCAAATTCAGCATGCCCGGCTTCAAAGGAGAAGGCCCAGATGTGGATGTGAATCTGCCCAAGGCCGACATCGATGTCTCGGGACCCAAGGTGGACACTGATGTTCCAGATGTGAATATCGAAGGTCCAGATGCAAAACTGAAGGGCCCCAAGTTCAAGATGCCTGATATTAATATCAAAGCTCCCAAGATCTCCATACCTGATGTTGACCTAGATTTGAAAGGACCCAAAGTAAAAGGAGAGTATGATGTGTCCATCCCTAAGGTTGAAGGGACTTTGAAAGGCCCAGAAGTAGACCTTAAAGGTCCAAACCTGGATTTCGAAGGCCCCAATGCAAAACTCAGTGGCCCATCTTTGAAGATGCCATCACTGGAGATATCTGCTCCTAAAGTAACTGCTCCTGATGTTGATTTGCATCTCAAGGCACCAAAAATTGGATTTTCAGGTCCGAAGTTAGAAGGTGGTGAAGTGGACCTCAAGGGACCCAAAGTTGAAGCTCCAAGCTTAGATGTACACATGGACAGCCCAGATATTAACATTGAAGGGCCAGATGTTAAAATCCCCAAATTTAAGAAACCCAAGTTTGGATTTGGGGCAAAAAGTCCCAAAGCTGACATCAAGTCACCTTCACTAGATGTCACTGTTCCTGAGGCAGAGCTGAACCTTGAGACTCCTGAAATTAGTGTTGGTGGCAAGGGGAAGAAAAGTAAGTTTAAAATGCCTAAAATTCATATGAGCGGTCCTAAAATTAAGGCCAAAAAACAGGGATTTGACCTGAGTGTTCCTGGGGCTGAAATTGATGCCAGTCTCAAGGCTCCCGATGTAGATGTCAACATCGCAGGGCCGGACGCCTCACTCAAAGTCGATGTGAAATCGCCGAAAACCAAGAAAACGATGTTTGGAAAAATGTACTTCCCAGATGTAGAGTTTGACATTAAATCACCTAAATTTAAAGCTGAGGCTCCTCTCCCTAGCCCCAAATTGGAGGGTGAACTCCAGGCACCTGATCTGGAACTTTCTTCACCAGGGATTCACGTCGAAGGTCCTGACATCAAGGCGAAGGCTCCCAAGGTCAAGATGCCAGGTGTGGACATCTCAGTGCCAAAAATAGAGGGTGACCTGAAAGGCCTCAAAGTGCAGGCAAACTTGGATGCACCTGACGTCAACATCGAAGGCCCAGATGCTAAAGTCAAAACACCTTCCTTCGGCGTTTCTGCCCCTCAAGTCTCCATCCCTGATGTGAATGTGAACTTGAAAGGACCAAAGATAAAGGGTGATGTCCCCAGCATGGGACTGGAAGGACCAGATATAGATCTGCAAGGTCCAGAAGCAAAAATTAAGTTCCCCAAGTTTTCCATGCCCAAGATCGGCATCCCTGGTGTGAAAATGGAGGGTGGGGGAGCCGACGTCCATGCTCAGCTACCCTCTCTTGAAGGAGACTTGAGAGGACCAGATGTTAAGCTCGAAGGGCCCAATGTTTCTCTAAAGGGGCCGGGAGTAGACTTGCCTTCAGTGAACCTCTCTATGCCAAAAGTCTCTGGGCCTGACCTTGATCTGAACTTGAAAGGACCAAGTTTGAAGGGAGACCTGGATGCATCTGTTCCCAGCATGAAGGTGCATGCCCCAGGGCTCGACCTCAGCGGGGTCGGTGGCAAAGTGCAGGTGGGAGGAGACGGTGTGAAAGTGCCAGGGATCGATGCCACAACAAAGCTTAACGTTGGGGCACCAGATGTGACACTGAGGGGACCAAGCCTGCAGGGAGACCTGGCTGTCTCTGGTGACATCAAATGCCCTAAAGTATCCGTAGGAGCTCCTGATCTAAGCTTGGAGGCATCCGAAGGCAGCATTAAACTTCCCAAAATGAAGCTGCCCCAATTTGGCGTCTCTGCTCCAGGGTCCGACTTGCACGTTAATGCCAAGGGGCCACAGGTTTCTGGAGAACTGAAGGGGCCAGGTGTGGATGTGAACTTGAAAGGGCCTCAGATTTCAGCACCGAATGTGGACTTTAACTTGGAAGGACCAAAAGTGAAAGGGAGCCTTGGGGCCACTGGTGAGATCAAAGGCCCCACTGTTGGAGGAGGTGTTCCAGGCATCAGTGTTCAAGGCCTAGAAGGAAACCTCCAGATGCCTGGAATTAAGTCCTCTGGATGTGATGTGAACCTGCCAGGTGTGAATGTGAAACTCCCAGCTGGGCAGATTTCTGGTCCTGAAATCAAAGGTGGTCTGAAAGGTTCAGAAGTAGGTTTCCACGGGCCTGCTCCCGATATCAGTGTGAAGGGGCCTTCCTTTAATATGACATCTCCTGAGTCAGATTTTGCCATCAACTTGAAGGGCCCAAAAATCAAAGGAGGGGTGGATGTTTCAGGGGGTGTCAGTGCCCCAGACATCAGCCTCGGTGAAGGGCATGTGAGTGTTAAAGGTTCCGGGGGTGAGTGGAAGGGACCCCAGGTCTCCTCTGCTCTCAACTTGGACACATCTAAGTTTGCTGGGGGCCTTCATTTCTCAGGACCAAAGGTGGAAGGAGGTGTGAAAGGAGGTCACATTGGACTCCAGGCTCCTGGGCTGAGTATGTCTGGGCCTCAAGGTCACTTGGAAAGTGGATCTGGAAAAGTAACATTCCCTAAAATGAAGATCCCCAAATTTACCTTCTCTGGCCGTGAGCTGGTTGGCAGAGAAGTGGGGGTGGATGTTCACTTCCCTAAAGCAGAGGCCAGTGTCCAAGCTGGTGCTGGAGACGGCGAGTGGGAAGAGTCTGAAGTCAAACTGAAAAAGTCCAAAATCAAAATGCCCAAGTTTAATTTTTCCAAACCTAAAGGGAAAGGTGGTGTCACTGGCTCACCAGAAGCATCCATTTCTGGGTCCAAAGGTGACCTGAAAAGTTCAAAGGCCAGTCTGGGCTCTCTGGAAGGAGAGGCAGAGGCCGAAGCCTCTTCACCAAAAGGCAAATTCTCCTTATTTAAAAGTAAGAAGCCACGGCACCGCTCAAATTCATTCAGTGATGAAAGAGAGTTCTCTGGACCTTCCACCCCGACGGGGACTCTGGAGTTTGAAGGTGGGGAGGTGTCACTGGAAGGCGGGAAAGTTAAAGGGAAACACGGGAAGCTGAAATTCGGTACCTTTGGTGGATTGGGGTCAAAGAGCAAAGGTCATTATGAGGTGACTGGGAGTGATGATGAGACAGGCAAGTTACAGGGGAGTGGGGTGTCCCTGGCCTCTAAGAAGTCCCGACTGTCTTCCTCTTCTAGCAATGACAGTGGGAATAAGGTTGGCATCCAGCTTCCTGAGGTGGAGCTGTCAGTTTCCACAAAGAAAGAGTAGCAGGCCTTTGTATGTGTGTACATATATATATATATATAACAAAACATCAGCCTTGGGTGTGTTCCTACATAAACTCCAAAGGGAAACACACCGACCGCCTCAGCAATCATGCAAAGATCTTGCCTGGCCCGGTGGCAAGCGCTGAAAAACCGACCGCCTGTAGGCTCCTGGAACTATACAGATAGGTAAAGAGTTCCAAGTTCGTCCAGCCCATGTGCAAAGTCAACAGTATTTGCCTTAAGATTTCATATATATATATATTTTTTGCATTGACTGCTGAGAGCTCCTGTTTACTACGCAAGCTTTTGTGTTTATTATCCTCATTTTTACTGAACGTTGTTAGTTTTGGGGTAATGGAAACCCACTTTTTCATTGTAATGACTCTGGGGGCTTTTGTTAGTAACGGTGGGGGGGTGATGGGTTGCAGACGGAGGGCAGGTCTTCCTCTTTTCTGAGACTGGATCTGTTTAAACAGCAAACACCCACAGATGGCCCAGAGGTGGCGGCAGTCAGAGTGTGTGGGTGTTTTTAGGGTTCTTTAGCGTTGCTTCTTTGACCAGGGGTGGTGGTCCCAGCCAGTTTGGTGCTGACGGTGAGAGGAAATTAGAACCTGTTTGCAAATTGTCCAACCCACCCCCTCAACATGAGGGGCTTCCATTTTCTGTGTTTCGTAAGGGAAATGTTTCCTTCAGGCCGCCATGTTCCTGATATTAGTTCTGATTTCTTTTTAACCAATGTTATCATGATTAAGAAAATTTCCAGCACTTTAATGGCCAATTAACTGAGAATGTAAGAAAATTGATGCTGTACAAGGCAAATAAAACTGTTTATTAACCTTGATGTCTCGTGCGTTTGTATTCTGCGTTGCGGGCGCGTGAAACCTGGGGAAGTGGCACAGCCAGCTGTGACTGTTCACACCGGATCCATCTGGTGGCATTGCTAGTTTCATCAGTGACAAGGCAGTGATCTTCGGGAGCTGGTGGGAGAAAATCTTTGCTTCTTGATTCTCATGGTGAGGCTGGTTGTGCCATTGCTGAGAAATCAAGGGGAGGCTTGGCCTCAGGACCCACTCACCTACTTTGCATCCTCAGATATGAATATACAATTCATGTCTGAATTAGAACTGGTTCTAAATGGGTTACAGATGTGAACAGTTAAAAGGCCTCCTGGAATTACCGAAAGGGCTCTGCTTATGAATCACTGGTCTGCCATTTATCCCTGACATGGCTGCAGGTTTGCTGAGTGACTGCTGTCGCTCGGGCTGGGGTGCGGTGGCACAATCTCAGCTCATTGCAACCTCCTCCTCCTGGGGTCAAGCGATTTTCCTGTCTCAGCCTCCCGAGTAGCTGGGATTACAGGCACCTGCCTCTACGCCGGGCTAATTTTTGTATTTATGGAGTTTCACCATGTTGGCCAGGCTGGTCTCAGACTCTTGACCTCCAGTGATCTACCCACCTCGGCCTCCCAAAGTGCTGGGATTACAGGCGTGAGTCACTGCGCCTGGCCAGGGTGCCAATCTTGTATAAGGTATCTTTGTGGTTCTTTCTAGTCCATTGGAAGGCTAAATATTATTAAAAATTCTTCTGACCAAAGTCCCCTTTTGATTTCCAGCTCTGTTGACAATATGCGGGGGTGGGGGAGGGGTGGTTCTAGTCACTGGCTCCTAATGTTGGTCATTGCTGGTCAGAGGGTGATACCTTCTTGTACCTGGACCAAGCTTGTCTCCCTCGCCATTCCTGAGAGATGCCACGTTTCTGCCAGTGGAGGCAGCTCTGCACCTCTCTGGATCCCCCCAGAACAGATATAAAATAGCTCCCACCCCATCCTTCCCTGTCTAGTATCAACTTGTCAGTGGGATCTCCTGCCAGTGCGGGCTCCACCTGTCCTTGCTTGGATTTCAGACATGCATTCCCCAGCTTCATCCATCCTCACCTCGACCAGCAGAGCCAGTGTCCCTGGGGGTTTTAGAGCTCAAGGGTGGCCCCTGGTTTTGGAAAGAGAGAGGTTGGGAGGGAGGCCCTTGATACCCTGCTGCTTTTTAGATAACCGACCTACAGCTGCTTTTGTGAATTGGACAAGATGCTTAACCTGTTTGAGCCTCAGTTTCATCACCCTTAAAATTGGGATAGCAGCATTCATAGTGCCAGAGTTCGCCCAGGTATTTGGGTTATGCTGAAGTGTGCAGCATTCATGTGGCAGTCAGATACATACTTATGGAGAGCACAAGAGCTGGCGTGAACTCCTAGAGAGACAGGCATGAGCCCATCTTCTACAGAAACCCCCTGGTTGCACTGGGCCACACACAGACACTCCAGCCATAAGCATGCTCAGGCTCAATGGCGCACACAACTGCACACATCACGGTCTGTCCTAACAGGGCCTGGGGTTGCTCCCGGGATGCTGCTTTCACTCAACCAACCACAGCTGGAAACCCATCTGTTCCTTCCTCAACTCTGAAGCCAAGAGTGGGGGGCAGGTCGGAGTGTGTGTGCTGCTCAAGATGAGTAGCCCTGGTGTCTGGAGGGGGGGTGAGTGGGCGACGGTGGGGTGAGTGATGGTGGGGCGAGACGGTGGGGTGAGTGGGCGACGGTGGGGTGAGTGGGTGACGGTGGGGCGAGACGGTGGGGTGAGTGGGCGACGGTGGGGTGAGTGGGCGAAGCGATGCGGTGAGTGGGCGAAACGGTGCGGTGAGTGGGCGACGGTGGGGTGAGTGGGCGAAGCAGTGCGGTGAGTGGGCGACGGTGAGGTGAGTGGGTGACGGTGGGGCGAGACGGTGGGGTGAGTGGGCGAAGCGATGCGGTGAGTGGGCGACGGTGGGGTGAGTGGGCGACGGTGGGGTGAGTGGGCGAAGCAGTGCGGTGAGTGGGCGAAGCAGTGCCGTGAGTGGGCGAAGCAGTGCGGTGAGTGGGCGACGGTGAGGTGAGTGGGCGACGGTGGGGTGAGTGGGCGACGGGGTGAGTGGGCGACGGTGGGGTGAGTGGGCGACGGTGGGGTGAGTGGGCGACGGTGGGGTGAGTGGGCGACAGTGGGATGAGTGGGTGACGGGGTGAGTGGGCGACGGTGGGGTGAGTGGGTGACGGTGGGGTGAGTGGGCGACGGTGGGGTGAGTGGGTGACGGTGGGGTGAGTGGGCGACGGTGGGGTGAGTGGGTGACGGTGGGGTGAGTGGGTGACGGGGTGAGTGGGCGACGGTGGGGTAAGTGGGTGACGGTGGGGTGCACTTATGTACACAGCCAGGGAAGAATGCCCATTAGGATGCTGGAAAGTCCTCTGGGGAGAACTACCCAGGTTGTCCAATAATATATCAATTAAAAAAAATTTTTTTAGCTTGAGGAAGAAGTGATGCAGGCTAGTGGTGGCCCCAGTGTCCATTCAATAAATGTTTTCTGAGTCCCATGTGGCTAGATGTGGCCCAGTCCCACTGATCTCAGATTCCTCTTTCTGAGGATTTCCGCAGAGCAAGTGATGCGATGGGTGTGAAAAACTGGATGCCCTGGCCAGGCGCGGTGGCTCACGCCTGTAATCCCAGCACTTTGGGAGGCGGAGGCAGGTGGATCACGAGGTCAGGAGATTGAGACCATCCTGGCTAACACGGTCAAACCCCATGTCTACTAAAAATAAAAAAAAATTAAAAAAAAAAAAAAATAGCCGGACGTGGTGGTTGGTGTCTGTAGTCCCAGCTACTGGGGAGGCTGAGGCGGGAGAATGGTGTGAACCCCTAAATACTTCAGCATGTATGGACATTCTCTTATATAACTCCAATACAGGGCAGGTGCAGTGGCTCACGCCTGTAATTCCAGCACTTTGGGAGGCCAAGGTGGGCAGTTCTTGAGGTCAGGAAGTTCCAGACCAGCCAGGCCAACATAGTGAAACCCTGTCTCTACTAAAAATACAAAAAAATTAGCCGTGTGTGGTGGGTGCCTGTAATCCCGGCTACTCGGGAGACTGAGGCAGGAGAATCACTTTAACCCGGGGGAGGCAGAGGTTGCAGTGAGCCGAGATTGCACCATTGCCCTCCGGCCTGGGCAACAGAGTGAGACTCCATCTCAAACAAACAAACAAACCAACCAAAAAACTCCAATACAATAATTAAATTCGCAAAACAAAACATTGACATATTATCTAATATGTAGTATATATTTACATTTCACCAATTGCCCCAGTAATTGTCTTTATAGTAACGTCTTTTTTTTTTTCCTTTTTTTTGAGACAGTCTCTCTCTGTCCCCCAGGTTGGAGTGCAGTGGTGTGATCTCGGCTTACTGCAACCTCTACCTCCCAGGTTTAAGGGATTCTCATGCCTCAGCCTCTCGAGTAGCTGGGATTACAGGTGTGTGCCACCATACCCGGCTAATTTTTGTGTTTTTTTAGTAGCATGTTGGCCAGGCTGGTCTTGAACTCCTGGCCTCAAGGGACCTGCCTGCCTCAGTCTCCCAAAGTGCTGGGATTTGCGACCACCCCCGGCCACAATGTCTTTTTTTCCTCTTTGGGCTGCAATTGTTGATGACCTCACATGAGATTTAGTTGTCTTGGTCTCTTTCTTTCTTTCTTTCTTTTTTTTTTTTTTGAGATGGAGTTTCACTCTTGTCGCCCAGGCTAGAGTGCAATGGTGCGATCCCAGCTCACTGCAACCTCCTCCTCCCGGGTTCAAGCGATTGTCCTGCCTCAGCCTCCTGAGTAGCTGGGATTACAGGCGACCGCCACCACGCCCAGCTAATTTTTTGTATTTTCAGTAGAGACAGGGTTCTATCATGTTGGCCAGGCTGGTCTCGAACTCCTGACCTCAAGTGATCCACCCGCCTTGGCCTCCCAAAGTGCTGGAATTACAGGTGTGAGCCACCGTGCCTGGCTTTTTATTTCTTTAATCTGGAATAGTTTCTCAGCTTTTTGTTGTCATGCATGGCTTTGATATTTTTGAAGTGTGTGGGACCAGTTTTCTAGAAATGTCCCTCAATCTGGGTTTGTCTGATGATGTTTCCTCATAGTTGGGTTCAGGTTGTGAATTTTGGGGCAGGAATACCACACAAGTGATGCTGGGTCCTTTTTGGTGCCTCGTGTCAGGAGCCACATGATGGGTATGTTAATTTCAATTCTTTGGTTAAGTAGGAGATTGCCAAGTTTCTCCATAGTAACGTTTCCATGCCTCCTCGTTAGAATTAACAAGGAAACCCATGTTTTCAAGAAAAATGTCCAAGTTTGGGGAAGTTTATTTCACAAGCACACTTTCAGAGGTTGGTGGCACGCTTAGCCTTGGCGTGATCTTGGGCCAGGGGTTTTGAAAATGGAGTTCTGGCTTTGAGCTTTGCAGCACAGAGCAACTCTCTGTCCTTCCTCACGAGGACAAAGAATTCTGTGCATGAATGCCTGCCACGGGCCGGGAATGCCATGGGCTGTTTACCAGCCTCTGAATTGCCCCGTGGCGTCAGGCAGCCGCGCAAGTGCTTCCTAAGGCTGAAGGCGCCCAGCAGAGGCACTGCCATGGGCCACGGCAAATGTGTGGGGAACATTCTGCTGAGAAGGGCGGTTTCATTTCCCTTTAAATGCCTCTGTTATTTTCTACCACACGCTTGAGGCTTGGCCTTAATGGAAAAACTTCCCAGTAATGGGGCCAAGGATGAGAAAGGGTTACGGATGAAAAGACCTTCTCTTTGGACAGGGCGTTCTAGTCCACAGAGTGCTTTATCTCTTGAGATCTCACACTGGGTTCTCAGCTCCGCCCATGCAAGCAGGCAGCTCTGGCATTTGCTGACTCTATCTTACAAACCAGAAAGGTGAGGCTCAGAGAAGCGAAGCGATTGGTCTCAACTCATAGAGTTGGGAAGAGGTGACCTGGCCAAAGTCT